CATTCCCGCTGCCTCCAACAGAACATCTGGTTGATGCCGTGAGAAACTGCGGAATTTATGCACGAGTAACTAAGTGGCGGGATATTGGCAACAATAAATTGAGCACACAGATTGAAGGAAGGCGGCTTATACTATCCCGTCGGACTTGTACGATTATCAAACGATGCCGTTCGGGTTGACTAATGACACCGCCACATTCCAAAAGTTATCGAAGTATGTGCTAGAAGGTTTACTTTCATCTAAATGCCTTGTGTACACCGAGAATGTGTTGATCCACGGAAAGACGAAAGAAGAGCATGTTACGAATTTGGAACGGGTGTTAGAATGGATCAAGGAAGTGGGACTGAAACTGAAAACAACCCAAATGTTAGTTTTACCGAGAGGAAGAAGGCAATTTCTCGGGTCATGTTGTTACTCGCCATGAAATAAAAAATAATCTACGTGAAGTAGATCAAACCCTGATTCGGCCAACTTTCCGTTCTATTCTTGAATTACGAGGCTTCTTAGATTTCGCCTCTCACTATCGCCAATTAATCTGGAATTTCGCCACGCATGCGTCACCGTTAAAGCTCTTCTGAAGTAAAAAAATAATAACTTCGTCTAGGGTAATCAAAGTGATAAAGCGAGCAGAACTGTCGTTCCGTAATTGAATGACCCCTAGGTAAACGGAACCTGAGTCTCAAGGCAGAGAACACGAGCTCGATCTATCATGTGTTTTATCGGACAAATTATCAAATATTAACAAAAGCATACTTCAGATTGTGGGCAAATCGACCACAGAATCAAGACAGCCAACAAAGGTTTCAGAAATGCTGGGCAACAATAGACGGGAAACGCTCGAGACGGCAATTCAGGAGCGAGTAAAGTGGTTTACAAAGTAGATCCTTGTTTAGGAGGGCACTTTACCAAATCAACGGTCGGAGGGAACATACAAGCGTGGTGAGGAATACATGGAATACCATGGCTATGAGAAAGTGAATGATCGTATTAGGATGGCGAATTTCAGTCATCCAGACGAATAGGGCAGATGGAGAGAGGAGGATAATGATGTCCGAGCGTCTTTGCCTTGTTAAGTAACGCAGGTAACTATGACCTAATAACAGAACGGGTCATGGATAACAACGGCTTAGGGCTCGGAGATTACAAAATGGAGAAGAAAGTCTATGTAAGCGATAAAACCTGTTTAGAACCAGGGTTCACTACGAACTGATATGAGCAACAATAAGACAAATCCAACTGAAGTCAATCAACACCTGCAATAGAAACGAGAGTAAAATTGCTAGACCAAATGGGATTGAATCAACAAATTTTCGCGCGGGTTTGGAAGCAAAGGAGATTTGCTGGTCAGAGTGAAAACTGGTGGTCAAATTGGAAGAATTGAAAACGAACTTTTTGGTGAATACAAGAAGAGATTATGATAGATAGCATGAAATCTCTACTAAACAATTTTGAAGGATTTTCTCGATCAATTCAAGCTGGACTTCCAAGTATGGTTTCAATAAATGTTTACAAAGAGCTTTCTAGCATCTACTCTCCGCGCTGCCTTCTTCGCCAGTATTGGATTTGTCAGACATGTCCACGAACGCGAGTGAATTTTGCCCAGATACCGATGCAAGTGACGATGCTATCAGTGGATCGATTTTCAGTTAGATGGCCAAGATCACTGTGTATCGTTTGGTAGTAAAACGTTTTCAAACAGAGAGAAGAACTACTATACTGCCGGGTAGAAAATGTTGGCTGTAATGAATACTCCTGATTGGTCGCCCATTTTGTGTCCGCATGGATAAATAAATGCCGTATTGATTGCAGAGTTTTAAGGATCCACAGGGATGGAGTGTTCCACGGGAGGATCTGTTGCTTGAGTTCGAATACGTTTCCGCACGTCGGTCGGGTAAAAGTCATGTGTACGTGGATATCATGTCTAGACACCCAATGAGAGATCATGGTTATTGTCCATTCGGCATCATAGATTTTGTGAGATACCAAAGGCATATAAGAGGACAATGGATAGCGATGCAGTCAAATGATACAAGCACCGCTTCATATATGAAAAAGTCAAAACTGGAAGTAGGAGATGGCACCTTCCAGTCCATGGCCAAAGCATTTATGGAACCTTTAGGATTCCTTGAAGACGGCAGACGGCATAATGGTTTTTATTCATGGACCATATTACCTAGTAAAAAGTGGTTCTCATTGAGCAATGATGCAGACTGTCTCGACAACACTGCATTCAAGGTAAAGTCATCCAGGCTGTAACCAGTTGGAACATGCTGCTAGACTTCGGTTCTAGTGGCCATATCAACGGACGAATATTCCAGATTTTTGCGCTGTGGTTCAATAACGCTGAACCCACTGCTGGCATGACGGAAACGCTGTCGATGAAATGGAAAGGGTTTTCTGTAGTTGAAAAGAATTAGGTCAGATAGTACGTGCGTTATTTGCGATTCATCTTAACAAAATGAATCCGTATAAACTTGGAATTCACTGAGATGGCAATATGGTTTCATAAGTGCAATCAGAACCAAAAGTCCCGGTTCAGTTTCAGCTTATTCGAAACTGCAATTCGGTGCTCTGGTTTTAGTTGATACTATTCGCCAGCGTCGACTAAACGGCAAAAGATCAGTAGAGCAAACTGGGATAATTCTGAAAAAATCGACGTGATAAGCTGAAGTCACGAGGACAAAGGAAGCCCCCGAATACACCCAAGTCATTGTCCATGACACCTGATGATTTCACCTAATGCCCATAATCACTTGGTAGGCTCTTCAGGTGGACCATTGCCTAAAACTCTAACAAGACCTACTTGACCAAGTCCACTGGTCAAGGTTTGAATTAATTTTTGCCGTGTTGTGTACTGACCGTACTCGACCCACCTTCCGACCACTTGTGGATTCAATGCTTGATCCACAGACAGACCACTTGTTCCCAACACCCTACGTCTAACCTCAGCAATACTGATGAGGTGTTCTCACCACAATCGACAATGACACGGAAATATCGATGGTCGAATATCGGCAGCAATAACCTATTTTCTACTCTTACCGGCCATGTTTCTGAGACGTATAGAAGAGCAAACCTAACGGCCGCCGTGTACACTCGACCCTTGACAGACAACTCGATGTCACGCCGACGCCCCAATTAGCTGAATCTGACAAAAGCTAAACATTCCTTCTGAATACGGAACGACACTACATCCAATATTGCTCCACCTGGTGAGATTTAGGTGCCCAGATAACAACACACATCTACTTTCACTTCGGCTTCTCCTGACAAGACGAGTTTTTGTGTAGCGTCAACCCAGTCCTGCAACAGCATTTTACATTATGAAGGTACAAAACGCATCTCAACCACTACTTCGTTGTTGTTTAGGTCGATTGAGTTGAACGCCGCTTCCAGTCTAGGAAAGAAAGAGATTTTGGCCCCACGGAGGATTTGTCTGTGTTCTATGATTTCTAACTAACTTGATTCTCATGCGGTTATGGATCCCGACACAACAGCTAACCGAATTATTCCACCATCCGACATTTTACCGATGAACGATGCAAAACCTTCTGTCATTTTTGATCTTTTGGATGTGAATACCTCTGACGACCTTTCATTCCCAGAATTATCAGGCCTCCGTTAGCCATACGGTAGAAATAAATGCACGTTATGAAAAACTGTGTTTTATAACAACACCGAAATTATGGTACTTTACATGAAGCTATGGTACCCAATTGTGCTATTGTAGAAGCCAGATGAGCGTAAGATAGTCAAACTTAACTAACATTACTAAGTTGACAAATTTGTTCATGGTAGAAATGAGTACTTTGTGGATGGAAGCGTCAGTACATTTTTGATTCACAGTATTGAGTTAATTAGAAATGAAATAACAATTGAGCAAAAACAGAAATCCCGTTAATGTGAAGTATTTGTATGCACCGCTGTTCCGAGATTCCGTGGTTCTTCCTTTCTGGGAAGATCATTTTTAAGATAAGGTGAACATATGTGAAAATGCAAAACAGTGAGCATTCTGTAATACACCCATGTTAATCTACAATGAAGATATGGAAACCTGCTAACTAACTATGTGAAATAATTTCGATTTCACTCAGAATAGGAAGAATGCAGCAATTATTAATATAAGCTTTATTTACTTGCGCTTCTCCTAGTGAGTGTGTTGTGTTTTGGAGGGGAATCCTCTGTCCGTGTGGTTTTCTTACCAATACCTGTAATAAAAACAGTATCTTACCTTATTATTTTCCCAAGTGATACAATTTCATGCATTTCTCAGGATTGCCGGGAAATAAACAAATAAAAATACAACAGGAAATTTAGATTTATTGAGCTTCTGTGAATGACTCATGCGTCATTCTTTTTCTTGAAGTCTGTAATACAAAAATGCTCGAGGGAATAGGAGTTAAAATCCTTTCGCATTTTAGGCGATAATTTCCTATGCATTACTTCTTGAAAATCAGATGGAATGCTGACCTACCATCGATCTTCATCTGGCATGAGATTTGTTCAAATTTACTGTGAGTCATGTCTGAATAATAAAGAAATGAGAGGAATTACTCGGGCAATTTTTTCATCAACAAGTTGTAATATTTCTAGAATCAACTTAAATTTGTGGTCGGATTGTTTAACAAATTGCATTTAGTGAATATGTCACTAACTCTAAAAACTGCCTTGGATCCAATTCCATGTGTGATGGCGCATGCAGGCTTGACTCTTACGGACATTATATACGTATCCAATGCGCTCCTTCAAGTTGGGCCACTTCAGAATGAAACCTTGGTAAACAAAGGACTACACGTCTATGGTTATTTATCAGCTTGACGAGACTAAGTAAAATTTGCTTACTTGAAAAACCTTTGGTTGTGTTGAAGTCCGCACTGCATTGCAAAAGAACGTCGAAGATTTTCTGTATTTGTTCTATTCCTCCGGGCATATATTCCATTACATGGTACAGAAGATCATACCACCTCGGACAGCCAGACCAATAAGTGAGCAACCGTGTGTTATTTTGTAATTCTGCCGACGATTTGTGAAAGCAATTGTTCAGCTTTCGGGGTTAGAAGACAGTGATATACAGAAATGGATGTACGCGAACGATTAATTTTTACTGTTGAACGCAAGTTATCAATACGAACATTAACTTATCGGCTGAACTTTATTTTGATGCTCAAATAGAAATCTGCTTCAAATTTGAAAATTTTCAGAGAATATTAAATCACACAAATATTGTTCTTGTACAAACAGCAATAAACAAATAAATAAATGTTGAAATACATATATCCCGCAGAAACTGCTACTCATACAATATATGCTTGAATTGCGATCCATTAGAGCCGTGATCTTCGTGTAAGATTGGTATTCGAATTATCGAAGTTTAATGCGAATAGCTCTGTATCCTGTTCCCATGTGTGAACTGTATGAGCTACTACCAAAAATCACTGTTCTCAACGCAAGCAGAACATTGGTGAACTCGAGATAATGGGACTCAATTGCACGTATCACTTTTGCTCACTTTCAACCGAGTACGGTATCTGTACTTTGTATCTTCTTCAGTTTTGCATACTTCGAATTTCATTTGTTCGTCAGATTTTTGTTTCAAATGTCCTCTGAAAACTGCGGAATATGTTTTGCTATATGATTGTAAGTGAATACTTGACAATATGAATAATATTGGTCGATTTAACCCCAAACAACTCACCGGTGACATTGTGCTTGACTGATGCATCTGTGAAAGCAGGTGTAACATGCATTTTTCCATTTTTGTAGGACAAAACTTAACGGATAAACAAGCGGAGATTGATTGAATTAAAAATGTCATGAATCGGTTACATGCCATGAGAGTATCTCGCTAACTAGTTACATGGAAGACCTCTCACGTATCGAAGTAGCAAGTAGTTAAGTTAAATAACCGAAAAATAACCTGGGAATTGAACAAGTGATAACAAATCTATTAATTTCTTAAATATGGTAAATCGGTTTACCGGTAATTTTGATTATCTCAGTATCCATCACGCCAAATTGCCTCAGAATGCCTTGTATTATTCCACTTAACCACGTAATAAGAGTAATTTTGCACTCATTATTGGCATTTTGGCCAATGTCAGGTGAGAAAAAATATATACTAGCTGTATCATTCCAAGAAGTCTTGAATGTATCGTCACATCCAATGTAATTATACCAATCTTGTTTCATTGCTGCCATAATAATATTCATCTTGGAAAAAAGGATTCATGAGAAACTGATGATAATTTGTTATTTGGTAGATAAACAATTCGCACGTGAATTGAAAAGTCACTGACCATCTGGCAAATTGAAGTGTACATTGTTTCTTTACTAATTCTGTGTGAATGTTTCCCGTCTAATCCATATTTTGGTACAGAATATTCAATTTGATAATCTGAATTACCAGATGATGAAAATGTTGGCTACTTGACAGTACGCGATTAGTTAGGCTTTCAAAGATACAAGACAACAATGCCAACTTGATCACAGTGAGAACAATGCCAGAATAATGAATTGCGTTCAGAATCACTGCAGATGGACTTCGTGTTGAGACTCACTGATTACGTCACCAACGTGAACTTCTATGCAATGGGAAAATGGCAAATTTGTGATATGAATTCAAGAGAAGGATGTCGTGCTCAAACAGTACACGTCGGAAATTAGACTAACCAATCCAATCTGGTAGATCTGCCCCAGTTGCATAGAACAGGTAGACAACGAAACAAATCCGCATAACTGAGAGCATGCCCGAATAAATGCGTTATCGAACTGATATATGCAATGGTTCATGCACAAATCGTGTAAATGGCTGGATGCGCCAACGCATATATGTATCTAAAACGATTCTGTTTCACCCAGTCAACGAGCACATAAGCCAACTGCATCCATCAGTGCATCCATAGGAATGTGGCCATCGCACCACTCACATGGGTCAATGTGAACCCATACACTCACTCAGAAACCTTGATAACCGGCGTTACCTTGCTCAGTTGATGCAGAACATCTGTAAAATAAATCAATAATTAATACACTCAGTCCACTGGCTGGTAGCTCTAGAAAGAATGCTCGTTGGCTCATATGCGTGATAAAGCATTTGGTTTTTACGATCCCATTGAACGGCAACAAATAAGATAGATTTTTGCTTTCAGACTCGATGCACCACATTCATTGTTTCCTTGCTCATGAATCTATCGCAAAGAATACATCATTTTGGTTCAAAAATGTGTATGAAAAATGAAGTAGGTAGTTTAGGAGTTGGGCATTACTGAACTCAGCTACAGGGATCATGCAGCCCACAGCGACTTATTAAAATGATTCAGTCCTATTCAGACATTGGCTGCATTGTATGACTAAGGTATTTTAGAAGTCACACATCTGATAGACATCTCCCATCCACCAACAGTTCCAATGCACATCTTATCCCTCACTCTAGTAATTAAATACAGTTGATCGCCAGAACGCGTGCAATAATATTGTACTTCATGCAATCCGGTCACTACGCTCTCTTGGGAAATGCATGCTCGTGAACCAGGGAATCGGAAAGGTGAACCTACCGATAACATTTTGGAAACTTTCAGGGTGAAAAAACAGAGATCATGGGACCGTAAAGGATGAACTGTTCCGACAGGTCGATGTTTTGAATATCCGTCCTACCAAAGCGACTTAAATCCTGTCGAACTCGAATGTGATCATTCTACTTTTTAGATTACCTGCCTGAAATGAATTGAAGCAACATCGGAGAGGATAAAACTCGCAACACGATTAAGGTGGAACATTTTCCTATTAAATCAGACGAGAATTTAATTTACTGTCAATGCAAACACAAAATACCCTTATCACAACGAGGCAAGTTCTGTTATATTTATAACCTCATTTCTCTTAGCGTACATATGTGCATGAAGGCATGCGAATCATATTCTTATGATTGCATGTTTCTGCGATATATTCTTCAGTTAGGATCTTGGAAATTAAATACAAAAGCACAACACCCACGAGGATATCGATCTACTGCACGATATCAGACGGTTGAATGTCACGTTTCGTGTTCGGTTAGCTGCCACTCAATACCCACTGCTTCAATGAACTGATTGTTATTTTCACTAACCCTTCGGCATCAACCCAAAATATTCCAGTGTCCATCACCATTACTTAACATCAGGTAGACCGACTTGTTTACGGTGCTTCGAACCCCCTTGTCAAGCAAGTCATTGCAAGTGCTCATGTTTACTTGTTATACTGACGGGATTAGAGATAATATTCGGTCACATGTCTCGATGCACTAAGCTTTGAACCTGGTTAATGGTTGATTTGTGGTTGGACAGAACATCCAACAAAACGAACTTTTATCCTATCCTCTCAGAGGACTCAAGTCGATAAAATCCCGAGGCAGTTGACTCCTACTTTCTCTTTGCATGGCTGATATGAGGGACATTTTTTCTAGTCAGGCATATAACAACCTGTGTATCACACATCTCTGAAATGTCCTCAGTCATGTGAGCTGATTATGCAGGTTCGTATCAAACTAAGTTATTAGCCTTGTATTATTCAAACGACTGATTTGTTTCATATCTTCACTGTAAGATATCTACCAGTGAATAGTTCTCGTGTAATCCATGGAAGAAGAACTGAGTTGTCCATGAAAGGGGCCCACCTCTGGGTTGTTGTGCTTCCAGAAAACTAAAGTAAAATTCGCCTGAATTCAATATTTTAGCTGGAACTTTATACGTGCTGATCAGGTTAACACCCAGCATAATGTAGCGGGGATGCTCAAAACAACAGGACGATGTAAATATCAAACCGATCAGACCAACCGATCGAGAGCGACAGACCGAGCAACAGGCTATGAATATGTCGGACAAATATTGAATCAGACAATTAGGGGTCATATGGACTCTTAGATAGGAAGTAGCGAGATCTCGAGCAACCAACAAGATAATCCATGCGAAGAGCTACCGACTAAGCTGTCAACCGAGACAATTACACAAGCCGAACAGATGGAGCACAGAAAAATCAAGCAAATGGCTGCAGGCAACTGACCAGCACGCAACCGATATACTCAAACAGCAGGAAGATCAACGCACCTGTAGCGCGGTCTGGAAAGAGGGCCATAAAAGCGGTCGTACCTGCTACACGAACTTAACTTATTTGGCTGTCCAAATACAAATCTACTTATCCGTCTTACCATATTCGGTACATTGGTGTCGTGACCACACTCACACTCGCACTGAAGCTTCTTTGACTCTTTCCGATCGCGGATGGAGATGCAAAGGCGCGGATCTTTGATTTTGAAAGGATAGCGGAATGTAACAGAGATACCAGGAAGAACAGAAAGAATTTTTTTAACTAGTTCTTGCTGAACGCCATTTTGTTTACGTAGAGACCAGCTAGCTATAGATGATTCTGTGAACCAATTTAATATACACACAGCCTTGGGAATTTTCCGAACTGTAATATGCTTTCGAAGTTTGGATGAGTTTCTGCAATTCACCTGATGATCGGAATGACGTGACACAAGATCAAAACTGAGACGTCTGCTAAACTCAATTGGCGACTAATCTAGTACACCGACGGAGCAAAGGCTTGACATCAACACTTTAATAGACTGATGCCATGTCGTGGCTTGACTTCTGCCTTCTCGTTTCTAGTCAACCGAAGGCTCGGCTGAAGCGTCAGCATGGGGAATTCAATGAAGTAGCATACTTATAACATGCCTCAACCGACGAAGCCGGTGGAGTCATACTGCTGTGCTAACTGGGCAGGCGGCATGATCGATTCCATAGACGCGCGCTTGAACATTGAAATTGCTTTTTCGCTGTTGCCACCAAACGCGCGAGATTACCCTCGGATAAGGGTGATCAAACATGGAAAACCTGACGACATCAGCTTCTCGAACAGACCAGGTCCTACAAGGGTCTGGGAATACAGTACCTACAGCATCTAATACACCCTACCTCTCAATCGGAGGTGGATGGTACAAGGTCTCCACAGATAACGCAAATCGCAGTGCGCCGTTTGAGCCTTTGGCTATCACGTTGTTCACATCGTCTCCAACCCTCCAGTCTGCAGTTATAGAGCTTACCTAGTAGACAGACGTTCCTACGAATTTATCGATGGTACTGAGTGTCAGAATGCTGTGGAAGCACTTTAGACTTGTGAAGTGACTAGCACATACAGTCATCTCAAGGTTGTCTAGAATGCACTGTGCCTTAGTAGCATGATTTCAAATCAAAGCGATGTCATTTGCATAGGCTCAGTCTGAAAAAAACACCGGAAAGAAAATCAAGACCTTCGATCGTCTGATTTCCTGACTTCCTTCTTACGATGTTGTAAATCATCAAATTGTACTGGAAGGGTGAGAGTAGACAACCCTGACGCACGCCTCTTCCAACTGGAAAGTGAGTCGGCGATGAACCATGTGCTTGTACTCTGCCGATAGCCTGATGATTTAGAGCTTCAGGGATTATTGACGCCAACAGCTTTGACGCGACCGAGATCAACCTCGTCCCTTGACTGCAACAGCCTACATTTCTAGCACTTCTCTTGCAGAAAAGGATGACGGACGCACAATTAAACCTTATTGGACTGTCCGTGGGGCGTGAACTGATTCAAACGGACTACTGACTTGAGACGCTACCGCTGAAAGCCAGTAAACTGCTCCTCGAAGTGCATTTCCCATCGATACACGCGCCGTAAAGGCTGGTGTATTGATTGCTCGTTAAACTTGAAGATCATTTCGCTCATGCCAGGCATGTTGGTTCCTGTTGATCGGATCAGTTAGATAGGTATCCAAGCATCGTCGGGGGCAGCAGCTCGTTTCATTTAATACGCGCTTTCAGACCACTGATTTTCTCGAAGTTTGCACAAGACATTGGTCAGATATATTTATAGCTGGACGTGAACATTTTGATTTTCGCTTCTGGCAGGGATATTTCGGCACTTCCAGAGTACCTGATGAGATCCAGTTTGTAGCTGACTGCCGTGTGACTAACCTACAGGATGTGGTACTCCCTGAATTCATAGAATTTTAGATGTGTTTCCAGCAATCTAAATAAGTAATCGTGTATGTGGCTACTCAGCTGGGTAGCAAGCTGATTCTGATATCGTCGTCGGACCGACGTCCGGCAAAGTTGTTCTATTCTATCCGTTGATGGCAAACTTTGACTTGATGGATGAATGTGCTATGAACTCGGCACACCAAAGAGCGACGTAAATCTAGATGTGTGCTTCAGTGTGATACACAAGACCTAACTGAGCCACACTAGTGGTTTTCTTGTCTGTTCGTGACCGAAACTGATTATTAGATGCAGTCTCCATGTGACTGTGCCACACAGGCTGTGCCGGACATTTGCGCTGCATAAGGCTAAGCGGTGACTGGGATCCAGACGCAAAGAGCAGACCCGACTCCAGTACTCAAAGCAGTCCTAACAGCAAATGCTGGAACAGCGGTATCTCCAGATAAACACAGCTAAAAATCATGTGCTTATGCCGAGTTCAGACGTACTGTGAATGTAGGGTCGTGGATGTGAGTCTCAGACAGGCAGCAGATGTCAATGGCCAGTGTCTGCAGCGGAAGCGCTAAAGCTGTTTGTTTGCCTATTTGCATTAGAATCTGTACGTTAAATCCTGTAAGCTTCAGTGGCACATCTGGTATCAGTAGTGGTTTTGGTGAACTGAACACAACAGTGTCTTTCTCGATGGCAATGTGAGAAGTACATGGAACAGTACTCATGTGGTTTTGTGTAAGTGGAGCGAGTTGTAAGGGGTGGTGTGGTACTGGTTGGTTGGTTTTGTCCGACCACCAGCACCTTGGTCATATCTTGTGTAGTTTGAGTGGGCGAGTAAAGCGGAGCGCAAGAAAGAGTAACTATATATGCGGTAAAGGTTTCATGTAATTATGTGGGCTGAATATCACTCGGTAGGCCAGACGAAAGTAGACAGTTCATTAACGAGGCTCTACCAGGAGCCTTGAGCCAGAACGTCTAGCTTACATGGCAGAAGAACAATATGATGATCTCGTAGCCCTCTGGGGGCCTATAATTGAATATTAAATCCATTTACCCTTCGGATTAGGCAAAACACCCTTGCTGCTTAGTACATCCTCTAACTACATGCGCCGCCTGTGTGTGGTTTAGAATCAGGGCTTAGCCATCTTCCCTAGACTGACTATCAGTCAGTCAACCCAGTGGAGAGCACCAAGCACTCGCCTTCATCCTGGCGCTGGGTGGGAACGCTACGGCCAAAAGAGGACAATTAGGGGGATTTTCTCAGCAGAGACTACAACAAGTGCATTTCGAGAGGCGTTCAGAATTGGTATTCCTCTTGAGGCCTAAAACACACACTATGCAGCATATTGAGGCATTTGGAAACCACAGTTTGAAAAGACATTCAAAGATAGCCATATTCCGTAAGTTATATCCTGTTTCTATTGCGAACTCTGGAAACTTTCCTAATATAATACTATAAAAATATTTTACATCTACGAATAGTGAGTAGATTCAACCTATTTGTGACCAAAACCGACACTTGTCAAACAAGAAATAGGAGATTGAAATGCGCCATTGACGGTTGATTCTGGCGCTCCATCAAAACGGGGATCAGGATTTACTGAAATTACCTTGGATTTGAGCAGTAAATTAACGTGACCCCTTTGCTCTGATGGAAAACTTTGGAGAGACAGAAAAGGTGATCAGGTAGTTGACGTATCAGTTTAATAAGTCAACTTGCACTTTGTTTTTAATTAGTCAGCTTTTTCACATGTAGGACTTTTCTGACAGCATTTCGCCAGGGTGCACCTTCTCAAGAAACTAGTTCGACCCACACTTTTTCCACACGTGAGGGCAAATGAAGCGGTTATGATTTTCTACATACTTATCCTGCCGACTCCTTAATAATTCAGTTACTTTAATGGAGTGATTTTCAAGTGCATTTTATGCGCTTATGCCCCATTTAATGTCAAATTGTATGTGCAGACAACACTCCAATGTTATTTGAAATGTTATAGTGTTGGTGCGAAAGCATTCCAGTCAGTTGCGCTGTGTAGGCGCACACCATTCATGGACCAGGTCACATTTTATAGACAAGGTAGGCAGTCAAGTTTCAATCAGGTCATCGTTTAACTTCTGCACTGACCACTCTGCACAATATCGATCTCGTACGCATGTGGGTGTCTTAATTTTGCTTATTGTAGACCGAATAAAATCAGCCTGACTTTTATTGAGAAACGTTGGTGCAAACTACGCTTCATTAAAAGCACTTCTTGTTTCTGATTGATTTCCGCATGATGCATTCGAGTCTCGATGTATATGGCCAGTGTAGCAACCCATAGCACTAAGGCAGATTTGTATGGACTGTGATGATCATCCGATCAACGTGAGAACCGACCAGTGGGATGGTCCTGACAAGCAACGTACTTTGGATGAGAATATGATCTCCATGTGCCCTGCTTACCGTGATCAAATTTTAGGACAAACCCGAATAATGGCGATTTTGATCTCATTGTTTAAATATGAAAATGAAATAACAGTGTTCCAGGACACTATACAGTCAGTCATAAATTCATAAAATAAATGGGTGCAAATAACTGATGTCAGCTTCGTTCTCAGTGGTGAAAATAAAAAAAAATTATAGAAAACCTTTCCCTGTAGTTCTTACATTGCAGTGTTCATCTGTACTGCAATCTGGGTAGCTCGAGTATTTCGCTTAGGGAATGAATTATTATTTTATTCACTTGGGGCAACGTACACGTTCGATCGACTTTCTTTTGCGGCAGCGAGACAAATGATCGAGTATCGAGAACAACGGGTTGAAGATGTGCCACTAATATCCCCAAGCTCAAAGTGAATGAGGTTAATTAAAATTGGGGAGAATTCCATGGCTCAAAGGACAG